AGAAACAATTTGAAACAAGATTGGTATCCAGAAGGAATGGAACTCCACTGAGCACAGGTTCTAATGAAATTACAACTTTATTCTCATATTATTTCCTCTCAAGTACGACTTTATTCTCTGAATTTTCTTTTCTTCAATAATGCCCTAATCCTCAGTCTTTACTTAATAAATATGAGATAACATTTTAATCCAAATAAAGCAATAAACATGAACAATGGCAGACTGGATAAACCAAAATCAACTTTTACCTAATCTTGTTCAGTGTTACTCAGCATAAAAAGTACAAAGACAGACTCGTATAGAAGTAGTAATTTTGTTTTGTGCTCAGAAGATGAGGATGAGCCCTGGTTTAGCTCTTGAATTTAAAGAAATGGTACAAAGCCTCTTCATATTAAATTTGTGCCTGAAGCCTGAAGACATTACCTGCTCTTAGTTTGACTTAATACTCTTTTTATTAGGTGGGAGGGTAAAGCATTATCTATGGACGTATTGATCGTCATTAGGGAAAGTTCCGTCTCCCTACTCTTCTAAAATTGATTTCCTGTCAGGTCCTTGCAGGTTTATGTGTGGTGGGTCTGACTCTGGGGGAAAAATACTACTTTTCAAAAAATTTAAATCTAAAACAATGACTTCTCAGTGTTTAGGAAACTATGAGACTACACTGGTCAAATGTTTGAATGTGGGTGAATGGCTGTAATCTTGGAATATATTGTGTCTATATCTGGCAACAGAAACAGATTCTTTTATAAATGATCTGAGATATCCAAAAATCATTTGGCCTGTGGGCTATTTGTTGCCTCAGGCTGACCTCTAAAGTCTCTCGGGATATAATGACTTTCCCAAAAGTGAATTCCACAGTGAGGAAGATAAAACATGGGTTGCAATAAAACTGGTTAACATGCACAGGAAATTTCACAGGTTTAATCTAAACAAATATTTGTTTTCAAACCATCCTGTCTAGTTCATTTCAGATCTTTTTTTTTATCCTTTTATATGAAGCAGTTACTCTTATGACACATGTACCAGTGATAAAACAGATACAGTATGAACCATAAACTTTTATCAGCTCACGTATCATAATCATATATGAAATGGTTTCTCATCTAAGCAGGGGAAAGTTATTTGATCCAAGTGATCAGAGCTGTTTTTTATAATAATGAGACAATTCAGTGTTTTTGGATTCCTCATGCATGAATACAGAACAGCAAGATGGAATCAGGGAGCCGATCACTTCTGCTTAGAAACACTTTTTTTTTTTTTTCTTCTGTCCTGCAACAGATGGCTGCTCTGCTCAGTGATGTGAAAAAAAACAAGATTTTTTTTAATATAGTGTAATGTTTTACCAAATACTATGAAGATGTCAGAGGCACAGGGGAGCCTCTCAAAATAGCTTCACACTGTGATTATCAGTGACATATGCTCAGTGCCACAATGTACAACAATGTATTGCAAAATTCTGACTAACATTTGAAACTCTCTGCTGACCAACTGAACATCTGGGGCTGGTTGTCTAAATTATACCAGGGGTATGGTCAATCTAAAAACTGTGTGTATTGGTTTTGTTATGGTTTCTAAGGTTTTCCGAATTAATAACATGTTGTTTCCATGAAATTATGTAAAAGTAGTATATCGTAGACCCTATCAGCATTTCCTGCAGAATTAACTGTAAGGGGGTAAATGTACACGTGCATGAAGGTCACTCTCACGCACAACAGATTAAGAGTTTCAGGTACACAGACTGAAGAGTAAAAGACAAGTTGTTATGTAAGAGAAGGAACTGCACTGCTTGCCACAACTGAAGCTGAAACTATGACGTCTGACTGCATGGATGGTAAAAAAGTTACGGACTTAATATGAAAAAAAACAATTGGTTCATTATGAAACTATTGACAAATTAGAATATGGCAGGTCACCACAGTGGACTTTGGTTTTCACTTACTCCACCTCAGCACCCTGAGAGAACTCTATGGGCTCACTGGCCAATCAAGGGGTAACCACTGCACAGAGCAGTCCACGGCAGTTAGGCCTGCAGGGCAACACATAGAACTGGAGTTATATCCAGTGACTACTATTACTTTTTTGTGCATGCCCCATTCAACTAGATAAGCTAAATCCAGAATTGCCAACATACGATGAGGCACCGCCAATGTTGATCATGTAATGACCTATAGCCTGTTACATCGACACTCATCATAAGTCTTTAAATATATTGGGTCCCAACGTCTTAAGTGGTTGCAGACAATAAATAAGACAGGATCTGCTGATGTCAAAGCACATTAGAGGGCAGAGCACACAAATAGAACAGACTTTGAAGTGCTTTTCCTCTAGTCTGTTGGATGTGACAGATTTGTTACCCAATCCTCCACCCCACCAGGAGTTCAACACACAACCATTTCCAATTTGTCAGGGGTGAACACGCCCCTACATCTGTAAAGGTGTTTACTCCTATGTTGCTCTAGGGTAGGACCCATCCACCGGGCTCAAGAAGAGCAGAATCTCACCATATCTCAAACATGGTCTCAACCCAAGCATTAAGCTAGTTATTGCATTATTATATGAATGATTTTCTGAGAAGATAATGACAAGTATGCGTCGTAACAATGTCAAAATATCCTGACTCAACACAAAAATATCTGTTTTAATAAAAATAATCCATCTTATTATACAATAAAATTCACATTACAAGATACTGATCGGTTTTTTCATAATGACTGAAGTGATGGTCACAGTCTGTTGACCTTTTAACCATTTAAAGTTTCAGTGTGTATAATTTAGTGACATCTAGTGGTGAAGTTGCATGTTGCAGATGAACCTCACCTCACCTTCCCCTTACAAACATGACAGAGAACCTGTGGTAGCCTTCAGTTGTCATAAAAACTCAAACGGTGTTTGTCCAGTTTATCTCTACACCCGGGCCTTTACGAAGCTTTGCATTTGCTCTCTGCTGCACTTTGTAATGGACTGTACTATTTGTATATGCTTTATTTAATCATCCAGTGTTTGTGTTGGGAAGCATGAGCTTTGTTAATTGTTATTTTATTGTGAATGATCTGCCATTGTTTACTGTAGTATGATGTCATACTGTTTGTATGGTTCAAAGCTGAATGGCTGTAGCTGTCAAGGGAAACCAACTTAAAGAAAATCTTTGTGACACTCAGACTGCTCTCATTACAAGTGGCTTTAATCATGTGTAGGTGCATTCTGTTTTATTCATATGGTGCTTTCATTTTTATTGGTTCATTTGTTTTAGCTTTGCTGTAAAGTGCAATTCTTGTATGAAAGGTGCTACACAAATAAAGTGTATTATTATTATTTGGAATTCACCCCAGGTATGAATCTTGCATTCATTTGATTACTGAAATAAAAATCCACAGCCCGTACACTTCAACTAACTATTGTTGACCTAGCTTGATAAGCATAACAATAAACCACTTCCTTCCTGTATAATCAGCAAGATGTGTCCTGTGACGTTTTTTTCTCTGAAATGGGTGAAGAGAACATGTGGGGTTCACTTTCATTTGGTGAATATATGATCGTAAACACATGTGATCAGCCACATCTGTTTACTACAGCCTGAGATCCCCTTTAGCATTTAGCTCAGGCTCGACACCGGGCGGGCTTTAGGACCCTGCGGTGCGGTGCAGACGGGTCAGGCAGGAGCAATGTTATGGTGGATTTCACCTTTTTATTTACAGTCTGTGTTTTCACCTGAGCTGCTGCAGGAACAAGATGAACCAGTGAATCTGAGTCACAACTCACTGACACGCCGCTGTTCACATGCTGCACCGCCGCTAGCTGCGGTGCTTCTCTCTGCTGCTGATGGAGCACATCCGACTACCGAAGGTAAACCCGCGGGGATCACTGCAGTGATTAGACACCATTTTCCCGCTGAGCCTCCGTCACACAACACTAACCTGCCCGCAGGTCATTCAGGTTTAATGTGCATAATCAAACAAACAGTATGATGGGCGATTGGTGTGTCGGGCCTCGTAGGCGCCAGGGTCCTCCTGCTGCTATCAGCTACGTGTCACTGTGTGTTTGTGTGTCGGTGTGTGTATCTGTGTCACACACATGTATCAGGTGCTGGGGATGTTTGATGCGGTTCTTCCTCTTCTAGGTGGAGAACGTGAAGCTGCTGGACAGACTGTCTCCCAGGAGGAGCAGGGCGGGCACCCTCTACCTGACAGCCACACACTCCATCTTTGTCGAGAACGAGGCTGGAGTGCGCAATGAAACATGGGTAAGCGTCAGCTTAGCACACTGAAAATCCCCTCTGTGCATCTAAGCATCATGATGACCATGTGAAGCTACAGTGACATTCCATAGAGTGTACCTCCGTGTAGACCCGACAGTCGGTTTATGAAAACACTCAGATTTTAATTTGGATCTACACCTAATTCCACGCTCTCATAAATAGCAGCTTCCTGCTCATGCCTGTTTATTTTCATCAAGATCCATGAATTATTCTCTTTGAAATCAACAAAGAATTCGAAAAATGCCAAATTCGCAACGTTAAAGAAAGTGAAAGAAAGAGATCCCAGATCTGCCCCCTGATCCGGAGCTTCCTTGACCTATTATGCATCCATCACGTAGCTTCATGGAAATACATCCTGCAGTGTTTGTGTAATCCTTCTGATTATCAGACAAAGAGGAAAACAGATGAAAATATAAGCTCCTTGGTGGGGTTAATAAATCATTCAGTCCCATATACATGTAATTTCTAGCATTTTGCCAGCGACAGCCAGTGGCTGGAGGCATTATATTTCCGGGTTGTCCGTCGATATCACTTAACATTCTCTGAAGCATGTCTTTAGCTGCTAGAGAGGAAGTTGTATTGGTCATTGTGTGATCAGCACAGCACTGTCATTTAGGATGAAGCTGTTCTTAGTTACTGAGGACTATTCATTGGAGGGTTGTTGAAACAAAAGTCAAGCTTACAAGTGAGCTCTGTCCAGCATAATCCTAACAGCCAAACAACAAAAGCAGGTGAAAACATAACCTCCTTGGCAGAGGTGTTATTTCTATCATTATAAAAAGATTTTTTTTGTCTCTGATTTATCTTACTACAGGTGCTTCACAGTTTGGTGTGCAATGTGGAGAAACAAGCCGCCACAGCCTCGGGATGCGCTCTACTCATCCACTGTAAGAACTTCCAGGTTCTTCATATTGTCATCCCTCGAGAGCGGGAGTGTCAGGATGTTCACCTGTCGCTGCAGCGTCTCTCCCAGCCAGGTGAGCTGTGGTATGACAACAGCAGAGGACTGATTCTGTTATGTTCTTACATTAGAGCTCAGTCAGTAAGTCAGAGGATCCTTATTATTGTGGCTATTTTACACCTCCACCTGTGCTGGATGAAACATCCTGCCTCAAATAATAGTTCTTTTCAGAAGTTGTTCACTCCATAGTATCTGTGTCAACCTCAAAATTCAGTATTGTTCAGCCTCTACTTATGCTTTCTTTCTGTTTTGCAGCACTTCAGTCTTTCTAATTGCAAATTGGAGCTTTTGCTCATCAAACTTAAACTGAGAGCCAGTGTTGTGTCTTGCAGTGAGTTATGCTGAGCTGTATTGCTTCTCCTACAAGCCCAATGTTGACGAGAAGGAGAGGCGGCAGGAATGGGACTTCTTGGACCTCAAGGCTGATTACAGCAGAATGGGACTCCCAAACTCCCTGTGGAAACTCACCCCCATCAATCGACACTACAAGGTCACTGAACTGACATCGATGACCAGTTGCAACTTTCCATCCAAATATGGACTTCTCTATCGTACTGAGGCTATCTCTCCACCCAGATACATGTTCCATATCTTCTGGGAATGACCCCCACCTGACAGATGACGTTAATAATTATTTAAGACAAATTGGTATATCTTGCCCCTTGAGTGGCCCTTCACCCCTGGCCTTGGCGTCTTGCTGCGCCAGAGCATAAAACGGCTGCAGACAGTATCTGGCCGTCCTGCAAGCTCAGGGGTGTGTAAATAGTGTACGTTTGTAAATAGTTTATTTGTAGCACAGGCTGCAGGCTCACGATTAGAGCACTGGTAATATGTCTGGGGTTCTGAGACTGCTCTGCTTCTTTGCGTGTTGTCTTACAGAAATCCCCATACTTCAGAATATGTATCTAGGTGGAGAGATAGCCTTGATATAATAGAGAAGAACAGTTACAATGTAACCCACAGATCTCGGTTGCTTAGACTTTTGTAATGTCATGTTTTTAAAGGTGAGTGACACTTACCCTGCTGACCTCTTTGTACCTGAGTCTGCCTCACCTCCGATCATCGTGGGGAGCTCCAAGTTCAGAAGCAGAGGCAGATTTCCCACTCTGTCGTACTACTCCAAAGAAAATCATGTAAGTTGACTGCATATTATTCTCCAAATGCTTCAGACGATAACTAATAGAATGTTTACCAACACTAACAGATCCACTAGGACTCTGCACAGGAATGGTATTAACTGAAGCTCATGTATTTGGTTAAACAATATCACGGTGATGGGTAGTTCACAGGAAGAAGTTTACTGGTTCAGCCGGGGTCTTTACATGTGGAGTTTGCATTCTCTCCCTGTGTGTGCTTAAGCTTTCTCTGGGTTCTCCAACAAAACCATGCAGATAAGGTTAATCAAAGAAATAAGGTGTGAGTGTGAAAGGCTATTTGTTTCTGTATGTTGGCCCTGTGATTAACTGGATAAACTGTGTAGATAATGGGTGGATGGAAATATCATGATGACATAACTTAATTTTTGCTAACCTTGCTCTGCCACTTTTTTTTGACATCATAAAGCCCCAAAGTAAACATGAAGCCGCTGCTGTTAAGTCACTGATGCTGACCGCAGATGATTTCTAACCATTTTTAACTGTGAGGCAATAGATTTTTATATCCCCTTTTTTATTTCCATCTACACACAAAGATGGTGAGCCAGAAATGGTAAATAGACTGCATTTATATTGGGCTTTAAACTACAGGTTATATTCATCCATTCATGTACACATTTATTGTGATTACATCAAAATATGCATAATTTCTACCCTCTACAACTCAGCTACAATGATTCATATTTGTGTATTTTAATAAATGATAAGCCTGAACATTCATCATTTGTCCTATTAATCCCTGACTGGACAGTTGGGAGTGCTTTATGTGTGTGAGGTCAGATTCCCAGGGTTGATGGTCCTGGGTGTGGATGTCAGCTGATACAGAGGGGCTCCACTCAAGTTCATGAGTCAGAAGGGAGAGTCGCACAACAACCTCTGGCTTTCTCCCTTGGGGCCCTTAAATGTAGATACAATAAACTGTGTGGTTGATTAATTCAAATCAAACATTCAGGGAAAGAAAAAGTACTGTGAATTTTTATTCATCCTGATTCTCACATATTGATTTTCTTAATGTCGTGCAAAGTAATAATTTACTTAAAATCGGCTGTCGAGCGTATAAACATTCCTGCATGAAACCTCTTGCCTCCTCCCAGGCTGCCATCTGCCGCAGCAGCCAGCCTCTGTCAGGTTTCAGCGCTCGGTGCCTAGAGGATGAACAGATGCTGGAGGCCATCTTGAGGTCCAATCCCCGCAGCGACTTCATGTATGTGGTGGACACCAGGCCTAAGGTGAGCCCTTCGTGCCCTGCAAAAATACAAGTCATACAGTACGATGCTGTATGTTCAGGTGGGCTTTATTTTCCAAACTGTTGAGCCAGCTGGTTGTGCACACAGCAGAAGTATTTGAAAACATCCTGGTTGTGTAATAACTGAACCATGGTCAATTTTATATAATGGAAATTTGTGTGAAACCATACTTTTGTATTATTTTACACTTTTAACTGCCAATCATATGTTTTTCTAGCTGAATGCGATTGCAAACAGAGCTGCAGGAAAAGGCTACGAAAATGAAGACAACTACTCCAACATTAAATTCCAGTTCATTGGCATCGAGAACATCCATGTTATGAGAAACAGCCAACAAAAAATGCTAGAAGGTAATTATCATGTTCTCACGCTGATTTTAGAATTACTGTAAGAACTGTGGAAACCATTTGGAGACAGATGTGCATTTATCACTGAGTCAGAAATGTCCTCATATCACACGTTTCACATCGCATCGCCTGTTTAAATTTGCTGCTTCTTCCATTACTAGAGCAAGGCAGGACCCCATGCAACCCCTGTGGCTTTCATATGCACTCATGCAGACTGGACTGTGCTGCAATCAGACCTCAAATGAGCCCACTGGAGAATTTCTGGGTATTATGCCGGGGTGCTCCGAGGAAGACTTTGAATCCATCTGGAATTTATTTCAGAGCTATTTTGGCTTCGTGGACAATCCGAGACCTTATCCCCCAAAGAGAGAAAGAGGGCGTGAGAATGATGTGATTTCAAGTCTGAAAAGTTATAGCTGTTCTTAGTTGTGATAACTCTTTGCCCCCTGGTAGCACAAGGGAAGTCTTTAAATGTTGGAGACATAGCGCCTGCCCTTCAGAGCATGCCCGAGTCTCTCTAGCCCATCACACACTTCAATAAGATTTAGAAGACCCCCGCCTGGCAGCATTAGCTCAAACATTTCTCTTGAGTGGAAGTAAACTCTTGTGTTACAAAACCAGAGGCCGAATGAACCTGTTCACCTGGCCAGCCCTCCTATCAGGGGCCTCACAGTGCTTTTACAGGTCAGCAAACTGATGCATTGTAAGCGAAAAACCACTTTCTCACCTCTGTGAGCTCTTAATGAGTGAGGACAGAGCAGATGTTTTCATCTACAGGAGTCTGAATTATGAGACTTAATGTGATAAATTGTCCACAGCAGATGCAATGTCAGCCTAGAAGAAATGGTTTCATGTCTCATGTTTATTCTGCCTTACTGTGAACTTGCAAATATTTATGTCGAACCCTGAAGATGGAAAAATAAATTTAGGCTCTGCTTTCTACAAGATAAGCAAACATAATACAGGGAGCCTTATGGTACAGGAATGGATTTGTATTTAATTATCTTTCCTGACTTGTGTTATTGTGTTTGAGTATGGCTTTATGTTGCATTAGTATTTTAAAATGCACAATAACAAGACTATGACTGCAGCACAGTGCAGCTCTGTGGGGCCGGGCAGTTGCTCTTTTTTTAGCAAAAGCCATTGTTGGCATGACAACATGCTCAGACCATAGACTCTAAAAGACGGATGTTACCACTTACTCCTGATTATTTAGATAAGAAGCCAAAATGTTCTGGATACAGGTGCAGCCATCTTGTGCTGCAGGCGAAGAGTCTTCGCAATAGCGATCAGGGGATGGAGCCATGGTATCAGGGTCACGCCAATACATGCACCCACCAATCTCGAGTCACTCTCATCTGTCAATCACATTGTTCACCACATTTTTAAAGCATCAAATGACAAATAAAAACCAAACCTACAAGGAGAATCAGCACTTAGACATACTATCAGTGTGATAAGAACCACATAAAATGACAGAAACCATCAGAGACAGTGTCTATACATGTATTTAGACCTATATTACAGCCAACCACCGGGGAGCGATTGAGATGCTTTGGCTTCCCTTTTGATGAGCAGGCACGTTGCCCATCATTACGTACCATCTATGGCTCAGACTGATAGTGACATGCTAATCTAAGCAAGCACTTTTTTTGTTTATCAGGATATACAATCCTTTTTTGAGGGCATGTCAGCATGTTCAGCTGGTTTCTAAATTAATTAGGATCCATCTTATAGGGACCGTGAATGTCTCTAGAAAATTCCATGGCAAATTCTATCTAAAAGAAGTTGACAGATATTTCAGCCTGGATCAAATGTGTGACAAAATAAAAAATGATCCATCACATGAGAAGCTGAGAGGAAGTTTGTTTTTGAAAAACAAAAAAATTGTCCGTGTGACCCATATTTTCCCATGGCATGCACAGATTCCCCCATAAATTCACTGTCATGGATTTAGTCTTTATAATGAAAGTGAACCTGTGGTTTAATAAAGTCCGGAGATCAGGTATGCTCCATGTTTCCTGCCAGTGAGACATCTGTGTTGTGGTTACAGTGTGTGAGCTGCGTACCCCCTCCATGTCCAACTTCCTGGAGGGCCTGGAGAGCTCAGGCTGGCTGAAGCACATCAAAGCTGTTTTGGATGCAGGCATCTTCATCGCCAAGGTCAGTCTGGAGGTTAATCCCTGCTGTCTGCTTCACCACTGCACTCAATATTAGCTTAGGTGTGTGTGGGTCTGTGAGTCATTGTGTATTGTATCCTGCCTGTGTTGTGCGATCTGTCTGTGCAGAGACAACTTTTATTGAAGTAGCATAATTCCTCTGCTGCCATAAATTGAATTGTAATAAAACTACCTGCTCTCAGGCTCCACCAGTCAATAACTTTAGATAGTAAGTGGTTGAGGTCAGGAAAGGTCAATCAGTTCAAGTGAATATACAGTCCAACAGGAGAAATTCTGATATCTGTGTCCCCCATCTTAAATTACAGATAAAATACAAATACATCGGTCAAGTTTCCCAAACTTCATCAGCAGAAACTCCAGACCTTTCTCTGACACCTGTCTGTTGGATCCACTTTAATTGTTGAGTCATACACATGATGAGTCTACAGCTCTTTGTCGCATTTTTAAACAGTACAGGAGAAATTACATCAAATAACATCTCAGGTATGACATTTAAGTATCATACACAGATATTCAGAGTGATGTATGTTGAGTAATGGAATGTTGCCGTCCACATTTGCATGTTAGCACTCTTTTTTTGCGTTTGCTGGCACATGGCTACGTTTGTTGGCAGGTTGTCGCCTCCAACTATTCATCAGGGGAAAAGCATAAAACCAGAGGTAGGAATTTGGCCTCACATGTGCGTTCATATTCAAGATAAACACTTTGGTCTGTAGTGCTTAGTGTGGACAAAAACTCAACAGATTATTGTAAACGTTTTCCACCTTCAGGGTTTGGGTGTCAAAGCCTGAGGAAGCAAAACTGCTGACAATGACTTGACGGCTAAATTCTACCTCAGGGCACTACGAATATTGATCTCATATTCACTGCAAATTAATAACTTTGATTTTTCTCTGGGTATTTTATCTAACATAATTAAAAAATATCGACATGAAATTGTATAATATTTCAGCTACATGATTTAAAAGATAAACCTTTTTGATATGACATTCTGATATTAAACTATGATCCACACCAGACACAAGAGAGCTATTATGTTTTTCACAGTTACCTTCTTGGTCCAATCCCATTTTAGCTAATAGTATATCCCCATCAAGCAAATATTGGTATTCTGATTACAATTCACATCCCTGTCTGACATAGATGAAATATGATATTGGTATATGTCTTATATGTGTTAACAAGTAATTTTGCTTTGTAACCATTGTTTATCTTTGCCACCCTGAGTCTGTTTTGGCACTGCACTGACTGTGTATGTGTATGTGCGTGTGTCACAGGCTGTAGCAGAGGAGGGTGTCAGTGTCTTGGTTCACTGTTCAGACGGTTGGGACCGTACGGCTCAGGTGTGTTCAGTGGCCTGTGTGCTGTTGGATCCCTACTACAGGACCCTCAGAGGACTCATGGTAAGTACTGCATATTTCCCTTTGTTGGACTGTGACTGCCACATAACCCTGTGATACACTCTGTATCATATCAATATATCGTAGCTGGTGGTCGTCCCCACTGGGCCTGCGAGGCTCTTTTCTTTGATCAGCTGGATTTGTGGAGGATAAGTTGGAATCCAAAAAGAGCCCGACTGGAAAATATATGTAATGCAGTGTCTTGCTTTTTGGGGATTGTCCATAAAGGGTGAAAAGGTCCAGCCATTCTACAGGGATTGACTGTGCACAATGTCTGATCCTTTAATCATGACTAACTGGAGTTAAAGATGTTCAAAAACTGTCACCTTCCCTCTGTTTTCTTTGCACTAAGGTCCTCATTGAGAGAGACTGGGTCTCATTTGGACACAAGTTCTCCCACAGGTGTGATTCTAAACATGACTTTTAAAAGATCTGTGATTTGGACGCTTTGTTTTGATCTAACTGTGCCCAACTCATCTCCAGGTGCAACCACCTGGTCGGAGACCCTAAGGAGGTGTCTCCTGTCATTGACCAGTTCCTGGAGTGTGTGTGGCAGCTGATGGAGCAGTTCCCCTGTGCCTTTGAGTTCAACGAGAGATTCCTCATCATCATTCACAGCCACATCTACTCCTGCCAGTTCGGCAACTTCATTGGCAACAACCAGCGGGAGAGGATCGAGCTGGGGTGAGATTTAAACCTGCTGCTGCTGCCATCAGTTTCTTTTCCTTTTCACAGCTCAGACATCTGGTCTGAGAGAAGAGTGACGACTCAGGAGAAGTGACAGCCAGTAGTATTTTACGTCACTGTGCTTGTACAAGTTAAGACAAGTGGAAACAAAAAGTACTGATTATTTTGTCTTTATCTGCTATTTGACTCACAGAGTGCGTGAGAGGACTCACTCTTTGTGGAATTATCTGTGGATGAACCGCGCAGACTACATCAACCCTCTGTACAGGCCGGACCACAGCCAGACTCAGGGGCTCCTCCGTCCCTCTACTGCCCCCTACTGCTTTAAGTAAGTTGTCACTAAAAGACAGCCTGGTTTGTAATCAGGTGTACACATGTTTGAAATACTATTCTCAGTTAATACTTGCCGTCTGATTGTGAGAAAAATACTCATAAGCTTCTGTCATGGAAGGTATAGGGATTAATAGGGCCTTAATCTCACACATGAACTTGCTTTAGATTCTGGAGAGGCCTGTACAATCATTTTGACCGAGGGATGCATCCACGTCAGTCTGTAGAGGATTACCTTCGGGCCGTCCAAGAGGAGACACAGCAGCTGGAGGGGCAGCTGTCCTCACACAAACAGGTAGGACAAGCCCTGCCGCTTCTTACCACACGTCATTTCTCACAGGGAAAAACAAACTCCTGCTTATAGAAAGTGACTGTTCCTTATGTTCTACATTCTCAATAGAAAATTGCTCAACTGGAACAGGAGCAGGTGTGGCGTGTCACCAAGAAGACGACCCCCTTTGATAAGAGCCCCACAGCGTGGGCCCTCCTTAATGATCTCACTTTGGCCAACACCCCTCAGGACTACACTGGGGACTTCATCACCAGCAGCCCTGGTCAGCTGAAAGCAACAGAGAGCAGCTTGATCTTCCTGCCGCAGGACCTGAACCAAACATCTGAAGCAAACCTGTCCAATGGCAGCGACCAGGAGTCTGGGATCGCTGACCTGAGCTGTCGCTCGCCTCTCAGCGAGGACAGCACCAGGGATCCAGACTCAGATGAGGCTACCTTCTCTGCTGCCTGAGCAAATGTAGCGTGTGTCCACCTGTACATTCACCAAGTCACCTGGCTATTGGCTAGCGTCAGTGAAAAGTCTTGCACTGGGTTACACATCTGACTTGCACTATTGTTTGCATGTTGTGAGGTGGACTCTCCCTTTTGCCACTTAAATACATAATAGTTAAAAGTTATCTGCTGTAGCTGAAACATTTCATTCTTACGCCAGGGAAAGAAATTCTGAAAGTAATAGTAAAGCTGAATATTGCTCAGTGTCATGTATGTTGTTTGACAGCAGACTTGACCCATTGAGTTAAAAGCAAACTAAGAACAATCCTGAACATTTGTCTCTACATGTAACATGATTGTTGAGTGTAGACGTATTAGTGCTTTGGTTGGTTTTCCATACACCTTGTTTCATCATTATACATTTTGCTTTACACACTGTAAAAGTTAAACACTGCTTCAATAGTAGTTGACAACAGCTTTATTTCCAACTAGGAAAACATTGTTAGCTATAAAGAGATTCCTCCCAAAAGATTCAATATCAATTTTTTTAAAGCAATAAAAGTCAGCTCCAAATGGAACAAAATGCCAATGAATTATTAAATAGTAATCAAACTGATGAAACACTGACAATAATGTAATAACAAACAAACTGGCGAAAACTGCAAACTCAAGGATATAATGTGAGAACAGCATACAAGCTGCTGTCACATTGTTCTAAGCATGATTCATCTTTGAGCAGTTTATAAGTCCTCTCTGTAGTGTTATGATAATTTTGTCCGACCCCTGTTTTAAATGCTGTTGCACATTTTGGTCACTGCTGATGGTCTGGGATCAGATCATCTAACCTGAAAGACGAGCAGTAATGCTCTTCTACACAAAGTTAGGTTTATACGTCAGTGTTGCCATGTTTCAATCCCACAGTTCATGTTATAAATGCACTCCATGCACCACAGGGACCTCAGCTGGTGTTTGTAGTCATTACACTACAATAACCATGGGTTAGTTGATGTTGGTAAGCTCTGAATTTTTACTGAACACAGTGGCCATTCTAAAAACATTTGTCCACAATATTGCAACGCTAGATTTGTTGCGATCAAACCAAATGTTTTACCAAAGGGAATCAACTGTATAAAGTGGAGTAAATGATAGAACTGCAGAACAGACGAGAGCATGTGAATAAAAATATTCTGCCATTTAGTGAAGCAGATTAGTGACTGTTTTTTGAATATGTGTGCCATTTGTAGAATTAGGATTAAATCTAGTGTAGTATACATTACTGTAGGTGCACTCCAATACTGCAAATGAACAAAGTACATTATCCAGCGAAGCATGTTAAGAATATTTTTGTACTTTTGACCTATTTTTTTGACTACTGTAATCTGTCTTTGGTGCATGTTGTTTTTTATTTGTAAGAGTTTGACCTTGTATAAAAGAAAGAGCTTTATATTACTGTGTGTGTTTGTGCAGGTGGAGAAAGAGCCAAATTGATCAAAATGACCTAAATGCAAAGTTGTATCAGTTGTGTCAATGTTCTTGTCAAATAAATAAATAAATAAATATAATACTATCAGTCAAATAGTTCTATATGTTCATTGTGACCATTTATTCAAATTATAAGACCACTTATACAGTATACGTGTCCACCCATGCAGATCATGCTGGTTTTATTTGAGGTTTCTGGATTATCTATTGATAACACTTAAATGTTTGTTTTTTTTGGCATTCGAGTGCACCAACCCTCTAAAATGTTTCCCTGCATTTGTAGAATCATACAACCAGAAATATCAAGCGTTTGTATGTTCAATTCTGCTTTTCTCCTGACCAGCCTTAAAGTCAAACAGGTAAACATGTGAGAGGCACAGTCTGACATATTTGGTAATTTTTGGGAATGTATTACTGCAACCGAGGTGCATCTTTGTCTTCCCTTATCTGTACAACTGAAAGAGCAACAAAAGCTGCCCCTCATTACAGATTCAATCTCTGTAGTTGATGAACATCTGCCCAGCTGTTCTGACCTCCAGCTTCCAATTACATAATTAAGGGGAAAGTTGAAAATTAAGAGAAACTGGACTTTCTCTGCTGATCGACTGAATATTTTGTATGAACACATTTTTAAAAACGTTTTTTTTAAGTGACCTTTTTTAAGTTAAGTTACCTAAAACAATATCAATAAGACTGAGCGATTGACAACAATGTGACAATGCAGTGGATATAATACAATACACCCATGCATACAAAATAATAAAAAGAACAAATAAAGTAAGAGAAAAGGAATAAACACACAAGTGGTGAATCTGGAATTAAAGATTGTGCTTTTTAAAGTTTGCAACAATTCAGATAATTTTGTAATATACAAGAAAAGTGTGGGTGTTTTAAGGTCATTTATGAAAATATGCTCTCAATTTAAATCCCCAATTTTATGTTTTCATATGATACAGTTCCACACAGAAATGGAAATGTGGATTAAATATCGGAATCATAAAAATAAACAACATTAACAATCGAAATGATTTTAAAATGAACGTCCTTCATCTTGGCTGATACTCACACTCACGTGGAAGCAAACATACACGCACATGACGTCGATCTTTGCGTGATGACGCAGTGTTGTAGGCTCGGCTATGATGGCAGCCGTGGGTTGACATCGATACAATACTCCATATAAACTATTTAAAAGTTAGAGGAACAGCCCCGACACAGTAACGTAGCACAAAGTACGAGTCTCCAGATAGCACACGCTTTAAACACACAGCCGCCCGGGCTGGGGAACGGTAAGTGATCCAGGCTCCTGGAGCTTTGCTGGAGCAAAGTGGCGCCCACTGCACACACACACATATAAACACCTGTATTTATATGTGTAGGTGTGAGGGACAGTGTGTGTGTGTGCTGCGAGTCGTGTCTTTCACGTGTTGCACACACTCTTCTCCATGTGTCGAGCCGCCGGTCCGCTGGAGAAGTGCTGCTGAGGGTGAAGCCAGCCTGCGACCTGAGAGCCTCACTGTCCGGCTCATGTTCAGCAGCGCTCAGCCTGTAGCATGCTAACTGCTAAATGCTAACTGCTGGAGGGGAACTAGCATAGCCCCAAAAACTGCTGCTGCTGAGGGAAGCTGCTGGGACAGGACCCGAGCTCTCATCTGTCTGCCTGTCTGCCTGCCTACCTGCCTGTCTGTCTGTCTGTCTGCTTCTCTCCCTCTCTCTGCCTGTCTGTCTGCTTCTCTCTCTGTCTGTCTGTCTGCTTCTCCGTCTGTCTGTCTGTCTG